TTAGTTCTTTATCTGCGGTGGTTTATTTCAATCTACTTTGTATATTGTGTTGTAAAAAAAAGAATAAACTTGAATGCCCTTACCACGCTTTGTGGTAGACACTACCTGGATAGGGTTCATCTTGTGTACAACTGATTCCTCTCAAGGCTTCGACAGCATCCCCCCACCTTTGGAGAAACCCCTCTCCCAAGACAGAATGGATACAAGGGCTTCCATATGAACTTTTGTGTTGAAAAGGTACACAGACTAGGTTATACTGAGGAGCTGATGATTACACTGCAAATAGTAAGGTGTTTCTCAGAGAGGTTTTGGTGCATTGTTCTTCCAAATAAATTTTTAAATGTTCTTTATGAACCCAGAGATGCAAGATAAAAATAAAGTTGGTACATATCCTAATATTGGGAACCTGTGAATGAGCCCGACAGAGAACTTTCAGTATGAAGGATTTATTGTATCCCTGAAAATGCCATCTGCTGTAATGCACTCTGCAATCCAGTAGCCAGTCCCTTATGAGACTTTCAGAGATGTACGACCATCTGCCTATCTCCCCTCCATTAGCACTGTGTCCAGGCACTTGGCCTAGGCTTGGAGTTACGGTTCCTAATGGTGCCTGTTACCAGTTTAGATCTGTTACCAGTTTAGATCTCAAAGTTGAGGACTCATCTATTAATTTTCAAAACAATGTGATACAAAGAAGATATCAGGAAGAAAAAACATTATGAAAATGGGATAAAAAGATAAAACAGCCTAATATAATCTAAACCAAGTGCATACCTCAAGAACATGAATTTTTGAGTAACTATCAAAATATGCTGTATGTACTGGCATCCTTAGAGAAGATTCTGAGCATCTCTGCCCACTATTTTCTCGTACAATCAGAGTGTTTTGCCTTTAAAAAGATAGTATTCTGTAGTTGCCCACCAAGAAATCTAATGTCTCTAGTCTTCCCTTTGAACATGTTTTCAAATGTTTCTCACTATCATTTAACTCCATTTAGCTTCATTTCCATGAAGCAAGCCAATAAATTAATCTAAACAAAAATTTAATTGCTGTATCTTCTTTCAGCTGTTTGTTCTTAGAGAGGACAGAGAAGAAAGCAAGGTTGTAGAAATACTTGGGAATGTGTAATATTGCATCTTGTTATTCACCTGCATATTAAATAAAGAAATGCCTAAAGAGACAGCATAGAAATATCCAAAAATTATTCTAGCTGTTCAATGTTTAATATTATAAAGAAAAGGAAGATTGACATTGTGTACACACACAGTGCTCCAGGAGTAACTTCTATTCACTGTCACATCCTCTACCACTGGATATTGCTAGTGATGCAAACAAGTCCTCATCCCGAACTGCTGAACAACCTGAATTTCTTTCCCCTCCTTCTTCTCATTCTCCCATCTCTTTCCACTGTTAGAAATACATAGAAAAGTGGAAAACAACTGAGACAAATTCATAAGTGAAGGTGAAAAGTCTGGGCCTTCCTGTTCTAGTAGCTGACAAGAAAAGATTAAGTATTGTGGAGAGCAAATCTGTACATATTCGAACTGTAAATAATACCTGCATAAATACTGTTTTTCCCTCTGTTGCAATTAATGTCTGCTTCAATTAAACTTTTACTACTTTACTTTTTGCATTTCTTTAGCTGTTTTAGCATGCCTATTAGAACATCTGAAAATGTGTATAAAAATCTTGGGTAAGAATAACTGGTATTGAAAAAAAAATTCACAAATACCGAAGCAGACCTTTTGAAAATATTTACTATATTAGTGCTAGGCCTGCTTTTCAGTGAGTTGCTGAAATTTCTCAATACTCACTTTAGTCTAGTTATAATTTTTTTTTCTTACTGATTTACTGATTGAATTTTACTAAAATTTACTTTTAACTGTTCATTCTTACATTGTTATGATTAATTATTTGGCAAAACCAAAAACTCTGCATGAGAAAATAAGTTTTATTCTCTATTGTTTAAACAAGCTTGATGCATTCCCTGAAAGCTTGTGTGCCCTTTAAAACACTGGGATTACAAAACAAATTTTGGGTAATTGGAAAGAGGATGTAATTACAATTAAACTAATTTTTCCTGTAATCTCATCCAAAAACTGAACTTTTTTTTAATTGCCGCCTTTGTTTCCCTACTGGTGAGGGCAACATAACAGACCAATTCCCATGCATCGTTTTGACTGCTGGGCTCTCTACATCTGTGGCACAGCAATGCTACCTTTCAGGGACCTACCTATGTAGAGCTTCCACTGCTGTTGGTGTCGTTGCAAAGGAACACTTGTGAACTGATTATTCTTTTCTTTTTTTTTTTTCTTATTCATAATGACACATCCCTAAGATACATCTGCTCAAGAAATTAATAGGTATAAGGCAGCATCTGCTGCTAAAAGAATAGCTCTGAGGTGGAGAACATTCCTTTGCAGACAAGGATCGTGCATTTCTACCACTGGAATGAAAATTTGCTCTGAGAAGGTCTTCGTGGTTTTTGCTACGTGGACCTATAGGATAACGATTATGTCTGCATGTTATTTTTCAAGCAGACATGCACTTGCTTTGTCTGAACTCTAAGCTGATCAAAAGCTTTGCAAATGGAATTAGTGCTGTCCTGAACTAATAAACCCTGCCTTAAAGGCATGTATATTCCTGTGGCCTCAAGTCAAGCTTAGTGTGAGCGCAGAGCAACCTCACATTTGCCTGCCAACCTTTTGTAGACATACATTAAATCTGGTCTGTACTTCTGCCCGGATTGGTACAGCAGCAGTTCAGTGGCAGGCGCTGTAGTAGTATACTTACCATTGACAGGGCCATAGATGGTCATTTGTGTTATGCTGTTGGCTGGGCACATCACCATGTGACTTGGCGATGAAAATAAAAAAGTCCCAAGACAAGACACTCCGACTTGCTTTCAGCACATGTTGGGTAAACATAGGAGTGTTGGAGACAGCTAAGTTTCTTCTATTCTATTCAACACACCATTTACAATACTAGATTTCCCCCATTTTTTTAACCTTAGCCTCTCTGCAATAAGTAAAAAAACTTATTGAGGCGATTATAATGGAAAATAAAATAAATATTATTTGTAAATAATTTTAGAGGTATTGGACAGTAGGTCTGCAAGTAGTCAGACTAAAGATACAGAATGAGCTGAAAGTAGTAATCTTACAGGACTTTCTCTTTGCAATCAGAGGTGACCTGAAGTATTTCTGTCATCAGCCAAGAAGGTCAAATGGTGATGGGAACTAAAATTGTGTTGCTTTAGCCCATTTAGGGAAAGGAGACTTTTATGTAACTTAGCAAAAATCAAAGAATAAGGTTCAGCCCATGTCCTGTGGAGTGAAAAGTTGAACTGATAGGGATTTAAAGTCTATTGTCAACATCAAAAAATGAATTATAAAATTTGCAAGTGAACTGCAACATTTTGATGTTCTTGTTGCTGATTTAATTAAAGAGGAAAATGCCATCTCCTTTTAACTACTGAAATACGTATTATTGGTGAGATGACTGTTGCTAGAATTGAGCAACCTTTGTGACAAAAAAGAAAAAAACCAACTATTAAATGTAAATAACTGATTTTTCAGTTTTCTGTCCTGAACAAGCTTGCTCCCCTTTTTCTTATCTAAACAATCTCCTTTGGCCTGAGATCATAAGCAGAATTATTGTCAGAAAACACTTTCTGGTAAATGTGAATAGTTGGAATATCAAAATTAATCTTAGAGTGGAAAATATGATAATATTACCATTTCTAATTTTGTTGCTACCAACAAAAGTATATTGTTGTGCCAGAATCATACATTCATATGCCATGCATTAAGTAGACAGCTTCTAAAATTTCTGCTTAAATGAGCTAAATTATATATAAACAATGACACACTTGTATATAATAAAGTATTTGTACGTTAAATATACAGAAAAGGTATATGTGCATATGTTGAAACTTTGTAGACATCTGGAGTATTGAGATAAAGTTATGATTTCCAGCTGGAACATGACAATTTTTAAGCAAGTCAGTCTGATGTATTTTAAGAGGAGAGACCACACAGTTAATTTTGATCTCACTGTTGTTCAAACAACTGTATTGTGGACAAAAAAAAAAAAAGCCAGTGCATGGTCTGCTTTGCTTCACTGCTGAACATTTTGGTTTGGATTGTTTTTTTTTTCCCCCTCCTACTTAATTAACAGTTTTGAGTGCTCCTACATATTAGTTTTTGTAGTCTTTATTGTTCTGCTAGTGAGTATCTGCATTTCTGAAAGAAATTCTCATTTCTATTTGAACTGATAGTACGGCAATTAGCAATTCCTCAGAACTGTATTCAGTATCTACTAAGACACGTCTCAGGACCTACAGTTAAGAATAAAGCCTGGAAAAAAAAGTGGGACTAGAGATATGGAGAAGTTCAGTTCACCATTTCCTTAGGTTATAAATGTTTCTTGGAAGTCTTTGCTCATCTACAGATACATGGATGGTTCCAATACAGAGGTTGGTCCCTTGTCTCCAAATCCTCATTAAAAGTATGGCAGTAATTAGGTCTGTCTGATCAGCCCACAGAGGCTACAGCAGAAGTCAAGGCTGAAGTGGTCACTGGGTAGATATCTGAGGCTTATTGTTACTGAAACAGGGCCATTGAATGAAATAGGCCAGAAATGAAAAGAAACCTTGTTAAGAACTTCAACATTTTTACCGTTACTTATATTATCTGGATTGCTCCTTTAAAATATCCTAAGTGTCTTCAAATTGTCTTATAATTTACCTTTTTTAAGAATTGAAGGTTCTGTTAACTTCTATTGTGCATATACCTTTTTCCCCCTTTCTTGACCTCAAAAAATGGACTTTTGTAGCAATGTTTTAGGTCTGAAGAAATAGGGCTGTTCAAGATATGCAAATGCTTTGAACTTTCACTGCCTTCTGACTTTCCTAGACCATAGCTCAGTGGAACTTTTACCTCCTCCCTGACCAGCACTGCATGTCTGATCATCTTTTTGTCTATTTTTCCTTCCTACAGGGACCCTATAAAAATACAGCAGCTGCAGAACCAAATTCGTCTGGAGCAAGAAAGCGGCCAGCGGTATCGTCACCAACAGCAACCTGATCATCAGCAGCACCCTCCCTCTTCTCCTTCCTTTCCTCCTCCCCCCTCCTTCCAGGAGCTTGAGTCCAGCCAGTCTGTCACTTCTCCTGTGCCAATGAGTATTCTTAACTCTCATACTTCCCCAACCATGCAGTCTTCCAGCTCCTTCAACTATGCTCGGCCTAAGCAGTTCATTGCTGCTCAGAACATCAGCCCTGCTTCGGGTTATGTGACTCCATCTTCAGGATCATCTACATCCAGCCTTCCTTCTCCTATGTCTCCAACTGCTTCTCAGAAACAGTTTGGGAGAGTGCCTGTTCCCCCTTTCTCTCAGCAGTTTGCTCCAGAAGGGGAGTACGCCTGGTCTCCTTCTTCTCCATCCCCTCCGCCCCCGCCTCCCCCTGTCTTTAGTCCAACCGCAGCATATCCGGTGTGTGATTCCTTTCCACTTCCACCTCCTCCACCCCCTCCTCTTCCTTCACTTTCTTCACCTTCCCACAGCCTGTCTCCAACTCCCAGATTTCCTAATTCCGGCCAGTCTCCAGCAGCTTTTCTCAGCTCCATGTTGCCATCCCAGCCACCACCCGTTTCTGTCAACGCATTAGGCCTCCCGAAAGGAGTGATGCCTCCGTAAGTATCAGCTAATAAGCTCCTTGAGTTTGATTGTACTGAAGATTATTGCACTTGCTTCATTTTATACTTTTCTAGGATCCTTTGCTGTTACCTGCTACCTGACAGGGAGAGATGCATGAATTATTTGCAGATGCCTGTGTGCTAGAGATGAGATAGTCTTCTAACCCTCACAGAAGTGAGATTCTGAAGAAGTCCTACAGTAGGAACACAAAAGAGGAGAAGCTAAAGCTTTAAATTGGAGTTGATGAAAATAGGAAAGCAGCAGCAAAAGGCTCTGCATGCCCAGGGCAGTGGAAGGAGAGCCAAGAAAACCCTTCTCATGACCCAGTTCTTTTAAAGTCGCATATTCAGTGATATTTGTAGTCGATGTTCCATTACGTCTGCAGGTAGAGAAATAACAATTAAAGAGAGCATTGTTCACAAGTCCCTATAGCTTTGTGATACTTAAAGTATGAGGTATTAAAGTATACATCTGACAACAAAGTGGTCATAATGATATATTGACTTTTTGGCTAGAGTTTTTGTTCCGAGGAAGTTTGGAAAAGGGTTTAGGAGGGGATTTAGAAAAGCAGTGCATAAAAACAAACAGAATCCCTCCCCCTAACAACTCCGCATACTTGTTTTCCCCTTTTGTCTTCTCTAAAGGCCAAAATAGTATTTTGGAGCATGTCAGCTCCCATCATAGATCAGTTTGTCTTTCCACTGGCACTAGACTCTCATTCCATCCTTAGAGAACAAAGAGACATGCTGAAGAACAAAAATGAGAATAGCTGTATCCAAGGCTTATTTATAACTTTGTCTAGAAGTTTGTCTAAACATATCTACGGTATCTAGGTGACTTGCTCAGCTACATGCCGTTGTGGTGGGAACTTCTGTTATTTCAGTCCAAGACATGAAAAGGAAGAGAAGGAAGAAAGCGGACAGATATCAAATAAATCAATCATGTATATGCTTTAAAAAGCATTTCTTTATCTTGATTTCTGTCATACGGCTCATTGTGGAGTCTGGCCATAAAACAAATTTAGGAGAAAAATGTACATTTTGCCCTTGCACTCACAATAGTTGTGATTTTCTATCTTACTGTGTCCTTTGCACTGGTTGAGTTTCTCTATTGATACTGACTGCTGAAAGTTGCATGATTAATTTACTGACAGCTTGACAGGTAAGGACAGCCCACAAAAGCTTGCAATTACCCCTGGTTTTCCAGGAAAGACTCTAATACAGCTATATAGTTCTGGATAGGAACTGGATTCTCTTTCAAGTTCCTTTCTGTGTGGTGTGAGGGTGACAGCAGCAGCTGGAGCCTCTGCTGTGTCCCTTTTTCCCTGTTATGCTACGTTCATGCACACTTGTCCTCACTTGAGGCATTAGCTATGGTCTTCCCCATTCCCTTCGATCTTTGGACAGAGAGACAACTCTCCAAGGATGCATCCCCCTTCCCCATGCCCCTCACTTCCCCAAGCCCAGCAGCCAGTCTGGGTGTGCAAGCGATGGTGTGTCTGTCCCCCCGGGACAAGGCAGCAGCCTCAGGCTCTGAGCTGAGGATGAGCTGGTTGGCTCTTTGGCCTGCATTCCCTCAGGATATGTAGTCCAGACGGGAGCTGGATCATGTTAACCATACTAAATGTATGTGTGTGTGATTTATCTATATGTATATATATGTACGTGTGTGTATATATATACACAATGAGCATTTGTCATCTGAATTATAACATTAAAACACGGTAAAAGATATATTGCGTGATGGAAAAAAAAAAAAATCTATTGTTATGGGTCTTTGATACCAATTTTTCCCTGGCCTCTCCTTTTTCATTTTACTGTGTAGGTTACTGATGTCTGGTGTGTCTTGCTGAGTAAATTTCTGTCAAGATGCTAGTCAAGCCATTTAGCTTTTTCTCTGCTTCTTGAGCAGTCATACAGTGGTGACATTGAAAATATGGTAGTGGGTTGCTGAAAGTGACCTAAGCAGAGTTTGAAATACCTTTCATGGAAAGGAGGTACATTTTTTACTAGAGACTCCAAATACAGTGTTTGAAGTGGTAGGATTTCCTCTTTAGACAATAACTTTATGTTTTGTTTTTATATTTTAACATCACTACAAGTAGACTTGGACCTGTCATTCCATTTAGATACTTCAACATTTTCATGTCAAGTGCCTCTACCAGATAAAATGCTCTTAAAACAGTTTTCCTGTCTGCTTTCAATGTTTTCATGGCTCCTTTCTCTTGCCTTGTCTTTTTTGTGTGTGTATTTCAGGGTTGGTAATTCACTGTTCATATTTTGATTATATGGTCTTTTTACCATGGTTGTTTATTCTCTTCTCTCCCAGGCATGGGTACTGTGACACCGATAGCCAAATATCTGAAAGAAAACAGTAGATATTTAGCTATATAAAAAAATATATATAGCTATATATAAATAACAAAAAACATTGTTAGGCAGAGTAAGAAATTCTGCAGACTATAAGTTATGCATCTTGATATGCTGTGGAATTTATTGAGTAATTGTTTAATTTTTCATACACTTCAATGATTTTTTCCTTACTAAATCTTAGCACAATTACAGATCTGCTCCTCAGAATCAGTAAGCGTGATTCTTATTCAGATTGCTTTTGTGGTAGGAGCAGAATAAAGGTAAATTAATAAACATTGCAGGGGGAGGTAATAATTTTTGGAGATGGTCAAAGGCCGCATCAGTGAAGTTTTCTGTAAAATGGAAGACACAGTGGTTGTATACAAACCAACAGAATTTTCATTTCTCCTCATGGAGTCAGACCTTCCCTCCATCAGCTTTTTTCAGGCATTTCCTTTCCAGTGTATGTATCATCTTTGTTCTACTTAAAAGAGAAGTTAATCCAAGGAGGTGTTGTGCCTCTTGTTATAGAAGAGGTCATTTTCCTTGGTTTTGGACCCTGGGACTCTGGGGAAGTGACAGCATTATCTAAACCAGTGTGATCAAATGAATATTCTTTCCAGTTGATAGATTTGGAAACATTGCACTGGGGTTTTTTTCTTTGTTTGGGGTGGGGGTTTTGTTGTTTTTTTAACAACGTGTAGTCTTACAGCCTTGCCTGAATCATGGGAATAGCTACTTGTGAATTTACTACATTTTATTTGGACATCTGAAACATGGAAAGCAGCTTTGTGTCATTAGTATCTACTAATTCACCTTCAAATATTTTAAGCATTTATTTGCAATAATTGTATGGTAAATGTTTCTGTTGAATCTTTCCAGTAAGCTCTAGACACTTTGTAGTGCCCTGCATTTTCAAGCTGTGACTGTGGTGGTGTTAGCTGAAAAAGCTTAGGGAATAACCTTTATTTTTTTTTTATTAATAGGGCAGATTTGATAAATTCATGTCTTGCCAGAGACGTGTTATTAAACAAAAGAGAAGTGCTGGTGGAACTGCGTAGCTAATTAAGTACTTAAGGGAATTATGAACACTCGTCAGTTATTTCTGAGGCAAAACTTGGCTGGAGTAAGGTTGTTAGATACCATTCTTAAAAATCTCGGTTCTTTCTTTCTTTACCTAAAGAAAACTCTAGGGTGGGTTGGATGTGTTGGACTCAGGTTAGCTTTCAGTTACAAAAGACTTGCAGGGAGCAGAGTTAATGTGACAGAAACCTAGAATTGAGGGGGTTTTGTCCACAGTTAAACCTGTAGAAGCTAGAATCTGGTCTTCACTGTTCATAGAAAAAACAAATTATATCTGCCTGGATAGAAATAAGTATACTTACAAATTCTAGGTAAGCACATACATCAGTAAGTTTACATGAGCATTTGTGAAAGCAAAATTAATCCCATGAGAAGGATTTAGTGACTATTTAGTGAATATTTAAGTAACAAGAACATAAATCCTGCTACAGAAAGGTGTGGAGTCCTCCAGCCTGGAGAAATGGAATCTCTTTCTAAGTATAAAAACAATGGATTGTCAGCTATACATATATCCTTTTGAAAGCAACTTAAAAAATTACAGTATTTTCTTAAAGTAGACACTTTTCCTTAAAGTCGACTTTTTCTTAAAGTAGATATCTTCAGTAATATTACCTTAGGCGCAACCAGAAAAAAATTTGACTGTACAGAACTGGTGAAAGAACATGATTCTAGATTTGCTACTTTCTGGAAAAGAATGGAAAATGGAAAAGAAAACATTGTTTTAAAGACGAGATTGTCTAAAATATCTGTAAAATGTAATTAAATAAGCTGCTTTTATCACTCTATATAATAAATATAACTGCTCTTTCAATGATCTCTAGAACCTTAAATCCAGATCTTAAAGGAGATTCTGTGGGAATCATGAGAATAGCAACATCAGAGAGAGATCTGCACTTTTTTCCCCATTTGAATCAGAGCCGCTGGTCTGCTTCTGCGGCTGTGTACTGTGACTTGTCCATTGATTTCTGTCTCAAACAGCACTGAAGCAAATATTTTAGTAACCCTTATGTTCCTTGAGTCAGTTAGCAATGATGGTGGCCACTCTGAGGAAAAGCTATACTTCTCCATCTTTTTATCTTACAGCTTTCGACAGTGTCACAGTACAAATGCCAGCTTTCACTTTAGAGTAAACCGTATTGCTGTCCTATGTAGACGAGACATTTACTTTTCCCATTTCTGTAAGTTCTGTCTGTCACAACTGCAAAAAATCGAGGTTACCTACAGTATGATTGCTGTGAAAATGGTGATACGTAGGAGGAAGTACCTTGGTTAAAAATTCCAACATCAAACTGAGGAGAAAGGTCAGGGTGTTTTCTTGCTTCTGAGGGAGCTCACCTCATCTCTGTATGCTACCTATTCAGTCATACCTGGAGTTATCCCTGGATCTCAGGAAAATATATCTGAAGACAAGTATGTCCATAACTGGAAAAATTCCAGCCAATATTAGGGTTTGCTTTCATTCCAAACCCCCAGTTTTCTTAAGCTATTGCTCCTGTCCATTTTTGTTTAAAGTTTCGTGTTTTATTGTGTTGTACCTCCTTTTCCCATGGCTTGGATACTAC